GTTTACAATTTTTCATACCATATTTTTCTAAAATCCTTGTTATGTACTGTTTTTGGGATAGAAAAACACAGTCTTTTTCCCAAGATATTTGTAGGGAAAGTAGAAAATTAGGTATGCCTAGATGAGTTACACCAAAATATTGCTTCAAAGTTTTTTCCACGATTTCAACATGATTTTCAGTGGATCCTAGGATTAGAAGGTCGTCGACATAAATAGCAATTATTTGGGCACCATCCTCTGAAACGAACAAACAAGGATCTGCCTTAGATTGGCTTAAATTAATAGTTTTTAAAACAGTAACAAATTTTTGATTCCACTGCCTGGGAGATTGTTTTAAGCCATAAATACTCTTTTTTAAACAGCACACTCTCCCTGGCTGAGCAATTATGCCTTCTGGTATTTTCATAAAAATATTAAAATCTAGATCACCATTTAAAAAGGCGGTTTTAATGTCTAATTGTCTTGCAATCATTTGTCTATGAATACAATGAGCTAACAATATTCTTATTGTTTCATAACGAATTACCGGGGCATAAGTCTCATCGAAGTCAATACCAGGAATTTGAGTAAATCCCTGTGCAACTAGTCTGGATTTGTATTTTATAATTTCTCCTTTATCCGATCTTTTTTTCTTAAAAATCCACTTGCATCCAACTACTCTTCCATTAGGTGGTTGTTGGACTATTTCCCATACATGATTATCCTCCATAGACTTTAGTTCATCCTGTATAGATAAGATCCAATTATGAGATTCTGGTCCTGTAACTGCTTCCGTATACGAAACTGGATCATCATTAGCGTAGTGCAAGTATTCATCATAATAATCTGGAGACTTACTTGTCCTGCAGCTACGCCTTGGTTGGACTATTTCTGGGGATACTTCCGAAATTACTTTATTTTCGTCATCTTCGTCTCTAATTATATTTTCTTCAATATTTAAATCCGAATTTGGGTTTTGTTCATTATCATCGTTTATTTTTGCATCTTCTCTTTCGTTCCAAGTATTACTCCTTCGCAAACTCTCAATAAATACTACTTCTTCTTGTCTACGAAATTTATAATCCCTTGATATTATTACTTTCTTGCCGTCATAAAATCGATACCACCCATTTTTTTTAGCATAACCCACCATCACACCGTCGAACGATCTGGGACAAAATTTACTTCCAGCTGCTTGTGCTTCTTTAGGGATATGCAAATAGGCTTTTTCACCGAAGATTTTCAGATGAGATATAAATGGTTGTTCCTTAAAAAACATTTCAAAAGGTGTGAGTTTATGAAATGAGTGTGGTAGTCTGTTTTTTGTATAAGCGGAATATGCCACTGCTTCTGCCCAAAGACTCTGTGGCAACTTAGAATCTATCAAACATGTTCTCGCCATTGTTGTTAAAGTTCTGTTTAAACGTTCGGCTAATCCGTTAGTTTCATGAATTCGTGGAATTGAATTTTCCACTGTGATTCCATTGCCCTTAAAAAACTCCTTTAGGGAATTTGACATGTATTCGCCACCATTATCAGATTTGAAGAAACTCACTTTTAATCCAGTAATTCTTTCTATTTTTAAAATATACTCTTTTATAACATTTTGTACTTCACTCTTGTGAGAAATGAAAAACACTTCGGTGTAGCGAGAAAATTCATCAATTAATGTTACGTAATATTGTTTTCCGCCAAGAGATTTTGAAGAAAAAGGTCCTGCAACATCCGAATGAATTTTCTCCAAAATTCTTGCACATGAATTACCCTCAACTTTTGGGACAACTCGTGTCATTTTGGATTTAATACAGGGTTCACATTCTATAATTGGTCGTTCGTTTGGAAGTACTTCAGGATCAGCAACCACTTTCTTTATAGCATCGAACATGTTAATAGGCAAATGTCCCAACCGTCTATGCCACTCTGTGATAGAAGCATTAGCAAATTCATGATATTCTTGAAAGACTTGTTGTTTGTTAGAGGAAATTACCCAATCTACTATTTTTGCATTTTTCCATAGAGTTATCTCATCCTCGTTGCCTTTCATACATATTCCTTTAGATTTTATTTTTTCCCATGACATAAGAGAACACTTTAAATCTTTTGAATATAATACATCGTAAAGAGTGATTGTCTTTATTTTATTGGACGGCAACAACGCCTTAATGGTAACATTACCAATGTGAGATACATGAATAACATCATTATTTCCCAAACGAATAATACTATTAAATGGTTTTAATTCCTTGAAACATTCTCTATTTCCCGACATGTGTGATGTAGCTCCTGTGTCGAAAATCCACTGCCAGTTCCTGCTCTTGTATGTGAAAGCTGGATATGCTATGTTTTCATCGGAATCAGAAGTAGCGAAGGTATTATTTGCTTGTTCATTTTTTCTTTTATTTCTGCAATTATTAATAGTGTGACCTTTATACCACCTTTTATTTTCTTTGCAGAATAAGCATTCTAAGGATTGATATTTAAGGATTTTTTTCTTTTTCTGGTTACTTAAAAATGCTTGATTTTCTTCACACTCTGTATTTACTGCACACCCCGTATTTACTACATTAAGTTCAAGTAATCTGGCACATACATCATCGTATGTTAAATTATCTTTGGTTGTCAAATTATCTATAATGTTATCGATTTCACTTGGTAACGTAGTTAAAAATAGTGATCCTTTCGCTTTTAAAGAGGTCGCCAATGGTCTGAATGCTGCTTCTAGTGATTCTTTGTCTGTTTCATTAGACCTGATTGCGGTTCTTTCAATTAATCTTGCCCAAAGTTCATTATATTTACCAATATGCTCAGGAATAGTTTTTACAGATTCACACTTAATACCAACTATAGCCTTAACCAAAGCATGCAAGGAATACTCATTTTTCTTGTCAAAAATGTTGTTTAATGCGTTCCACATACATACTGCGTCAGGATAACATGTAATTTGGGGTACAATTTCTGAATCAACATTAAAGAGAATGAATGCTTTAGCAAGAGAATGTCTGTATCTCCAACTTTCGCATTGTTCAATATATTCTTTAGCTGCGGCATTTTCTTCTGGCTTCTTTTGAAGTGCAGGATCCTTTTCCTCGCCAAATACTAATTTTTCTAAATTAGTTAACTCAAAATACGCACATGCCATGGTTTTCCACGAATGAAAATTATGTTTTCCATGGAGTTTTTCAAATTTTGGAAACTTGTCCATGTTTAATATTTATATTCCTTTATTCTTAGCGTCGGCCTGGGCTCATAACCTTTTGAATATTTTGGAATAAAATATATTGGTTCTGACTTTTATTTTATTTAATCAAAAACTGACAACCTTTTATAAAAAAAAAACATCTAACCATCTAGTTATACAATATAGTCAACAAGTAAGTGTAAATAAAAAATTAGATAAAATCAGAGCTGCATACTCAACAGAAGCTTGTCGCAAAAACACATTGTTTTTGTTCCAGCAGCACCCAGTAAAAAAAAATATATTCTTTATAAAAAACCTCTCATTCCAAACCAGCAGCAGGAACGACACCCTGGATATAAGTTAATTTTATAATAATATATACCACTTGTTGTAGTCGCTGGTTAAGGAATGAGAGGTTTTTTATAAAGAATATATTTTTTTTACTGGGTGTTCCTTGTAGTAACCCAGACAGCACACGATGTCCATATTTTGTCCAAAAAATGTCCATGAACTTCATATATGGATGTCCATTGAACATCCTTTTTTTATCCAATGGATATACCCATTCAAAAGTCCAGTGAATGTCAAAAAAAGTCCATGATGGACACTACAAAAATGACAAACTTATAATAAATTATTATAATTCTTCTAGTATAATTTAATTATTTACAACTAGGTTTTAATTAAAATAAATCAATTAATTTTCCTCTCCTCTTCGCTACTGCTGACAAGATACAAAAGTAAAAGGCATTCAGGCCAGACTCGAAAAAAGCGGTTAAGTACAAAAACTAAAAACCACAAGAACGGCTCACAGCATAGATCTTTTTATTTTTCTATGGCATAGATGAAATAATATTAATTTATCTATGGCTCACAGCCCACATATATAGAGTTTATCTGGTAAGAAAATAAGTATAATTAACATTAAATTATTCAAAAATCCAAAAATTAAGAAGCAAATCGATTGTTTTAAACTAATATAACCTATCAATTTTGTTTTAAACTTTATATTTTCGATTTACATTTAAAGAATCCCTTTCTTTTAGACCTGTTGTCAAATGATGTACCTATTTAAGAAAAATAAGTTATTAAAGGTACTTTAATTACAATAGAATATTTTTGTTTTTTTTAGGATTAAAAATTTCTATAAATTCCTGAAATATCGAGTGTTTGTTATATTTTAACACCTTTTGAACCTATGTAACTTTTGAATTAGTCGAGATAATGAAATATAGTTTTCATCACTCATCTTCTTCTAATTTTTATATTTATTTTCTGTGTATTCATCTTTTTACTTTTCTATCTGTATACAGATAAGGAAAGTATAGGAATCATGTTTTTTTTCGACCTCGAGTTTTCGACGGTTTTTTACGTTTTGAGGTCCTGTGAATCCCTATTTTCGCGATGATGTCTGTGTGTATGTGTATCCTCGATAAATCCTGAAAGGATACAAAGAAAAACACCAAATTTTAAACTTAAGCTTTATTCTGGCCTCCAAGCGACGACATACTATAACGTTTTTGCCAGACATTTTTTGGTACCTTGAGGACCCGTACACCCCCAAACGTAATTATGCACTATCATTTGCACACACATTTAAGATCTTAACCTTCATACTATAACGTTAGGTCTGGTCTTAGTCTATTTTGGACGAGAGAGAACGAATATATTTCGTATTTAGTTTGGGAGAAATTCAGATGGTACATTGTACACCAGGTTACCATACTCAAAAATTTAGAAAGAATGATCATTCTTCTACCATAGACTTACGACAAAAAATTTATTAATAGTCAGTAGACATTACATATTATACATTTTTACATACGAGTATTATACATTTTTTGAAATCAACTCATCGAGGAAAATTCAAATAATTCTGTATATGCACTATATATAATAAAACGAAAAAACAAATACTGAAATATATTTTTACAAAATTTATTTTTTAAATGATTTCTTTTCCCTCCAATCTAAAAATTCTTCAAAATCCTCTTCTAAATCGTCTTCCCTATCATCGCTAGAAGTTTGGTTCCTTGATTCATTCGTGTGTGCAACCACCTCTTCCTTCTTTCTCTCTAAATCAAGCACCCTGGAAATAGACATAATTATCATTATTTAGATTTAAATATTAATATTTAATGCAGACTGTAGAACTGCCTAATAGTCAATTTTATATATGTATATGATCTATTAGGTAGTTCCATTATTTTTTTTCCAAAAAGATACACAATGAGTCTAACGAGGCTTAAGTGAAGTATAGCAAGCCAACTTTTTGGATTAGATACGAGGTGTGGCTAGAAGAACGGACTGATAGTTCTGCAGATAAACGGCGAGGGTATTATGGTCAAACGGAACACGAGCGTATTACGTTCTCCCCTCTCTATTACTATCCAGTTCATTAAGCCGTGGCCTTTGTTCGATGTTTCGCCAGGTAATTAAGTAGTCGAATTAGCATACAGTACTCTATTATTTTAGATATTACAGATGGTACTGATATTGGTGGATAGTTAAAAATATCCGCAGGATAATTTTGTTTGTAAATAGAGAAAGCTTCATTTTAGAGAGAAATTTTCCATCTAGAGGATTTACATCTTGATGTTTGACATGGAACTAGACAACTTCAAATCTCCCACTGAAACTATACCAGGATCGCAAGTAGCTCTATCACATTCAACAACGAAATCAAAATATTATACACTAATATAAACAGTTACTTTCAAAAGAAATATTTAGTGAACTATACGATAGAAAGGAAGTTAATGTGCGCTATTTGTAGAAACTAAAACCAATGCGGAAACCAACATCAACTATAGAAATTTGGATGTAGTAAGACACGACGGAAATATTCTAAACCAAAATATATGAGGAGGATCACTTATGCAAATAAATCCAAAGCTAAAAATGCGAAAACAAATCCGCCCTGCATAAACGATCCCCGAAATGATGCTCTACACGTCAGTATCCCTTTCAATGATGACGAACTTCACATTATTTTGATATACAGCCACCCACATGCTTCAACCGACGATTCTATCTTCAGAATGGCAGGAAGATTCAAATATGTTGTGCTAATCGGTGACTTCAACCACCGCTCTCCAGGCAAATTAAAACAGATTCAAACTTTTATGCATAACACAAACTTTATTAAAGCGGATACTCCCCCTACTTTTTGATGCCCAACAATGAGGAATCCACCCCAGATTTGTTAATGTACACTGACAATCTTAGCAACGCAATCAAGAATATAGAAGTAATCCCCGACATTGGGGCAGACCACCACTCTATAATGTTTACTATCGAGCAAGGAATGTCCTCTCCTTTTGCAGACTCACCTCTTAAATATCATTTCAATAAATCAAACATTGAAAAAATAAATAAAGAAATAAACCAACCAAACTACCAATGAAGTCAATAACTTTCAAAGGTCTCCGAGATTATCACAAACAACACACCAAAAACTACAAACAAATATTTTACTTATAAACTTCCTAGATACATCGTGAAATTCATCAAAACAAAACGTAAAATGCTCAGAGAATACAGGCAAAACCCTAGTCGGGAAGTCAAAACAAACATCAACAACTTTAACAAAGACATTCCAAAATTAGTAAAACAATTTCAGCAACACACATGGCTATAGACCTGCCAAGATATCAATCGAGAACAGGGAAGAAACTTCTATCATAAAATAAATAAACTGTCAAAATATAAAACAAGGAATAAAATTCCCAATATCACAGACAATGGTATAGACTACCTTGCCAAAGTAGGTAGGGTCACAGACCAAACGCCAAAGTCATATCGCCCCATAAGCCTATCCTCCTTCCTACTTAAAATACTAGAAAGATTAATAGATAGGTATATCAGGGACGATATACTAAAAATAAATCCGCTCCATCCCAACCAATATACATACCAGCCAGGAAAGTCAACTGACCTAGCGCTGGACGATCTAAGCAGGCTGCTTTCAAAGTCAATAGATGACAAAGAAATCGCAATAGCCACTTTCTTAGATATTGAAGGAGCTTTCAACAATGCCTCAACCAAGTCCATAACCAATGCTCTAGAAAGAAGAAACGTCCCAGTAACAATATGCCAATGGATCACTGCCTGTCTAGAGAACAGGATTATTTTATCCACTCTAGGAAAGGCAACCATACAGGCAAAAGTTACACGGGGCGCAGTGGCGTGGGTAACCAAAACTGCGCAGGCAAGTGCAATAGGCCAACTCACTAGCATTCAGCGGCTTGCCTGTCTAAGTGCTACTGGGGCCATGCGCACTACGCCGACCGCAGCAATGGAGGTATTACTAAATCTCACGCCACTGCACATCTTCATACAAGGAGAAACCAGGTCAGCTATTCACAGGCTAATGCAGGGACAAAACCCAATAAGCCAACTACATAGCGCCGACCACACAAGGCTATATCAGCAAGTAAAAAGGGATAATATTCTAGCTATGCCTACTGATAGAGCCGTAACCACATACAAATTTGAAAGAAATTTTCAAATTCAAATACCAGCCCGAGAATCCTGGAAACAGGAACCTCCCGTACAGGCTGAACTCGTCTGGTACACAGACGGTTCAAAAACTAAGGAAGGAGCCGGTGCTGGAATCTATGGACCTAAGTCGAAATCAACGATTTCACTGAGCTTAGGAAAATATGCAACAGTGTTCCAGGCTGAGCTAATAGCCATACAACACTGTGCAAGAGAAATATTAAATCAGCAAGTATCAGGCAAAACTATTGCCATATACTCTGATAGCCAAGCAGCTCTAAAGGCAATTCTCTCACCAGAAATCAAATCACGCCTGGTGAAAGACTGTCTAGAAGACCTGACAGAGCTAAGTAGTCAAAATAAGGTGACCTTAGCCTGGGGTCCAGGCCATGAGGGATATCAGGGCAACGAAAAGGCCGACGAATTAGCCCGAGAAGGCTCAGATAAGGCCATGACAGGCCCCGAACCCTTCTGTGAAGTTGCTAAGGCATTGTGCAACGAATCCATTAAACAATGGATGCAAAAAGAGTCTCAGGAATGGTGGAACAACTATCCAAGACTGAGACAGGCCAAACAGTTCATCAAGGAACCATCGGCCAAGTTTACGAAAGACCTACTGGATCAAAAGCGTCAAATCGTTAGGATAACAGTAGGCCTTCTTACTGGACACTGTCGCCTCAAAAGGCACATGAGTGTCATAAATCCAGCAGAAGAAGCAACTTTGTGCAGGTTCTGTGAAGAAGAAGAGGAAACATCATTCCACGTCCTGTGCCAATGTAAAGGCTTGGCTGGAATGAGGTTTCTAACATTGGGCGAAGAAAAGCCAATTGCATGCAACTACATGCAAGAGCCACTGTCAAAGCTACTAAGTCTAATAAAAAAGACCAGGCTAGACGACATACTCTAAAACAAACGGAGTCCCACAATAGATCTGAAAAGGTCACGGTGGACAAGGACAAATAACGTCCAACTCCTAATCTAATCTAAATAGACTATACCACAGATGAAGAAAAGGCCGATGCATTCAAAAGGAACTTCATTAAAATATATAACGTAACGAAAGATCCATCTTTGGAACAAGAAAACTGGCGTAATGTAAACTCATGGTGCAAACAATATTTTAGAAACAACCCAATCAATGAGGAAGATAACATAGAATTCGAGGAGGAAAAATACTTTCAAATAATATCCAATCAGAAAAACTCCGCTCCAGGATAGGACATGATCCCATGGCAAATTGTGAAAAAACTAGAACATAATATACACATCTATATTATAAAAAGGTTTGTATTCTGTTATAAAAACTCGTACTTTCCAGATCAATGGAAAAAAAGCACCATCTTAGTTATCCCAAAACCAGGTACAGGCCACAAAAGAATTGATAATTCCAGACCAATCACCCTTCTTCCAGTTTTGGGAAAACTATTAGAAAAACCTATTAAGGTCAAACTATCAGCATTAGTAAACAAACAAATTCCGCAATTCCAATTTGGGTTTAGAGAACAAATCTCCGCTCTGGTACCAACCACTCTGCTAGTTTCCAAAGTGCAAATAACAAAATTGAACAATAAAAAATCTGCTATTCTCCTTGTGGAAAAAGTCTTTGACTGTGTCTGGCACAACGCCCTCCTATTTAAACTAAAACTTCTTAATGTGCCTGATGGTCTTACAATTCTTATCAATTCTTATCAAAAACTTCTTCAAAACAGAACTCCAAGAGTTAATAAATAACCACACATCTCAAAGTTTTATAGCAAATCAGGGTGTACCGCAAGGGTCGCCACTATCTCCGCTCCTTTACAACATATATTGCTTTGATTTTCCTTCAGGCCAGTTACACCCCAATTCAATAAATTACACACTCCAATACGCAGATGACACGGCCTTGATATCCCATGGAAATACGCTGAATCAAACCATCACAGCACTACAAAATCAATATAACGAAGTTGTTCAATGGCTCAATAAATGGAGATTACAAGTTAACCCACAAAAATGTCAATTAATGATACCCTATCATGATCTAAGACAGACATCACCTACACTCATCATATCTAACCAACCAATCTATCCCGTATCTTCAGTGAAATACCTGGGCCTTATTATTGATAATAAGCTGAACTTCAATTAACGCACCCGCAGACAAAAAAAAAACAAAACCAGAGCCAAACATTTCCGCTCTTTAACATACAGAAAAGAAGGTATCAACATCTACACGGCCACTAAAATCTACAAAACAATCTGCAGACCTCTCCTGGAATACGGCCACACTATATATTTAAACTGCCGAAAACCTGCATTAAAAAACACTAAGAATCATTACCAAGATGCGACATCCTGAAAACACCACTCACCATCCAGCGAATGAATATCTTTACGAAAAAACTAAGATTCAGCCTATCCTGGAAAGTATTAGAAAACTATCAAAACATTTCTCGAAGAAACGAAACGATCACATGCTAATAAACATTTTTTCGATGCAACGACAAATTGGTCAAGCAAAGTTTAAATACCCAGTGAGATCAATAACAGAAATCTGAAACGAATTTGCCGATGAACAATAATTAGTGCCACATATTGTTTTTTGTT